GCCAGTTTGAGCTTGGAGAAGTGCCAATCAACGTCCAGAAGCAGGAATCCATCCTTCGCAGTATGAATTCCGTGTCTGATTCTGCTTTTGCTTTCTTCTCCATGGAGTAGTTCTCCCATTCATCTGGGTATGGAGAACCCTAGATTTGTGTGTTAGGCTTTGATTGTATGAACCCAAGTACTGATTCTATGATTGATTATATTCGATTGAGGTTTTAATGATTGAATGACTTGAATCCTGATCAAATTCCTGTTGTTTCTGCTTTAACCTAGAATGAGAATATCTGCCTAGGTTAATAGAGTATCCTTGATTGAAGGTAGGGAGTTGGTGACTTTAGTCGAGGAGCCAACTCACTATTCTGCACCGGGTTTACTCTGGTAGTGGAGGTTTTGTTCTTAGGGCCTCAATCTGTCGACTCCGGTGGAGGTTAGTCGCCCGCTAGAGAGTCAGATTGAGAGGGTCTGAAGACCTTTAGTCGAGACTTCAGGCTGTTTAAGAACCTTCCGCAGTATAACTGTCATAGAAACTGAACTTGGTAATTACAATCCGGCTTAACTGCAGTCTAGGGGGAACCATATCCGGGTGACCTCTTTAACCTGAATACAACCAGTTTACTTGCTTTGTTTGTTTGGTAGTTTAGACTTGCATTCCAGTTTTATTGCTAGATAACAAGAACTCACTGAGTAGTCATCATATCTAGGACCCGGGTTGACATATAAACCTAACCCGCTATACTACGCTTTAGGAAGTGGTTTCACTTGGCCAAATCCTAGGGTGACAGTAGAAGTGAGTCAAGGCGCAAACAGACGACGCATTCTTCATTCTCACTGGTGCAGGGAAATAACAGATGCCGGGCTCCTCATTCCTCATCGAATCAACCCCTCCATCCTCATCTAAACTACAAAAAACTGATCAGATCCACACAACCCATAAAACAATCCTTGATTTAAAAATCCGAAAATCACCAAAAATCACTGAAACAAAAAGATGAAAAGAAAGATGTGATTATATATCGATACATCGGAGATTCCTGACGATGGATCAAATCCCTTGATCAATGAGCATCTTAACTTTTATGATGATCAACAAAGGTTACTGGCAAATACTATGATCAGCAAACTGAACACAAAATAGCCTTCCAACAACCTGCAATAACAAACAGAAAACAGGATCCAAACGATCAAGAGACTCGCAAAAAGAGAAAAGAAACTGAACAGAAAATAGCCTTCCAACCACCTGCAATTACAACAGAAAACAGGATCCAAACGATTAACAGACTCTCAAAAAGAGAAAAGCAAACTCGATATAGAGAGACGGACAAATCAGCTGGGACGAATACAAAACCTGCGAAACTGGATCCTTTCCAGACCTCTCAGCTGTCCTCCAGTGGACCTGGATCTCCTCCAGATCTCTTAAACCTTCTTTTTCCAATAAGAGAGCCGAGAATTCCCAAAGCAGATAGACCACCGAGGGCGCGAGATGGAGAGAGAGCAGGGGGAGAGGTGAATAACAAAAGGGGAGAAAGTATCATGGTAAAGAGGAGCAAAGTTTCTTTAAGCGGGAAGATGAATGAAGAAAAAGAAAAGAAACAGATCCTCTCAATTAATTAATGGCCTAGCCTGCATAAAATAGTAATAGCCTCTCTCAGCGTCGAACAACGCAAGGACTTTCCAGGCCCTCCCAGAGGCGCCCAAAACCGGTCTTTTCATATACAGTAGAGAAAACATATATATATATATATATACAGTAGAGAAAAAGCATGTCAAGTTGTCTCTCTGTATCTAGAAAACCCTCAACTGTCCAGAAACAACCCACCTCTCCACTGTCCAGGTCTGTCACTCTGATCCACACATCCACAACTCCGCCATATCTCCCAACCCTCAATGATTCCTCCACAGCAGAACCACCAAAGCAACTGAATAAACCTCGATCCACACACCCGTCTCTGCCAAAGCAGCATATAGATCTCTGATGATCTAACGCCCGTCAGAGCCACCAAACGACTCCAATGCAGAGATACTGAGCAACACAACTCCTTTCAATCAACTTTGAAGTCCCTCTCATGGCCCACCATCTCTGAGCTATCCCATCTCCCAGCACAGTCTAACCCAAAACCCGCCAGATCTTCCACCACTTAACGATCCCTACCCAACAGAACACCCACAGAGTAACCGAAACCCTCGGCCGACGTGCCCGCTCGGGCCAAAGTAAAATATCGACCCCAACGAAGTCCAACCAGAAGCTAAACACCAGTCCCACCCCGACCGAGCCCCCAAACTCCGTCAGATTCCAATGAGGCCTCACCCAACTCCAGCCCACACCGAAGGACACGCCAGTTTGAAACAGTAAATCTCAGTCACAATGGACAGTAAAAGGTGTCTGTGTGTACAGTACCAGGGGCTGCGGTGGGTTTCTTTCTTTCAATAATGAAAATATAACAATAAAATAATATATTAATCACACTTCCCAATACACACTTTCCTTCCCACTTTCTTTCATAAAACAACATTTTCTTCCCAATTTCCTTCACCTCCAAATCTCCTCCTCCTATCCTAATTTTCCTTCACCTCCCCTCCTTTTCCTCTCTTCCTTCGGAAACATAGTGTAGTCACATGACTAAGTGAATCTCCACCCTTGCACCCCATTAAAATCCAATGGCCCATATTAATCTCATTTAATGAAGGACAATATAGTAATTACACAGATTATTTATTTAACCATTAAAATAAAATAAAAAGTGGGTTGAACTGTCTCCCGCGCTCCCGCCGGCCGCCTGTTGCCCGGGACCTGCCGCCGATCGGCTGAGAAATTTTCCGGTGCGTGGGATTCCCCCCCCCCTGCGGTCCCTTTCCTAGAACTATTTGGCCGCGAAAAATAGGTTGGTGGAGATTATATTTTTGGTACCCATCGAGAGAATTTTCACCGCTAACGGAGATGATTTCCCGGCGATGGGAGATCTTTCGGGGACGGAAAATCGGTGCCCGTCTCTTTGGCCGGCGAGGGATCCAGCTGGGTAATTTTGGCGGCGTTCCATTCTCCATTTGCCATTTTCCCCAGAGTGAGGCGGCGTGGGAATATATTATGCGGTCCATTTGCCATTTTCCCCAGAGAGAGATTTGCTGATCGGAATAATGTTGGATTTGTGATGTTTGTTGACATATTTTGTAATGTTTGTAAGTCTGGTTTGTAATGTTTGTATTGATTCGGTTTGTATTGTTTATCATTCTTGTTTGTCATTTTTAGTGACATTTTGTACGTTTAGTATGCTTGTATTGTTTGTCGGTTTATTTTGTAATGTGTACGCTTTGTTATTTTGTAATGTTTGTCGGTTTCTTTTGTAAAGTTTGTAAGCTTTGTTATTTTTGTGAATCATGTTTATCATTTTTGTCAACCATGTTTGCAATGTTTGTAATGTCTAAAAACAACCTAGTTGACTTTTGGATGAAACTCTTCTATATAGGGATGGAGCCTCCAAAGTCAACCCATGTGTTTTTTCGAGTTTGTATGGATTGTCGGTCTAGTTTGTCATTTTTGTCCACCATGTTCGTAATGTTTGTATGTCTAAAAAACAACCAGGATGATTTTGGGACGGAGCCCTCTACATAGGGATGGAGCCTCCAAAGTCAACCCGGTTGTTTTTTTATATGGTTTGTATTGTTTGTCGGTCTAGTTTGTATTGTTTGTACAGTTCATACATTTGTAATGTTTGTAAATCTATTTGTATGTTTTGTCGTTGTAGTTTGTATTGTTTGTATATTTGTATGGTTTGTACTGATTGTAAATCTGGTTTGTATACTTCGTAATTTTTCATAATACCAAAAATACCCCTGTCATTAATTAAATAGTTCTTCCCACTTTTTAACCGTCAGATTGGTGTGTCCAGATCTAAGGGCTGGGAGGGGCTTAGTCAAGTAGCTAGGCACCCCCTTAGTCACAGGATCTAGACTCAGGATTTGGGCTGGATTTTTAGATAACTAACCAAGGCACATGTGCAGCCAGGTGGACCAATAAAAAACTGTTGCGCCACTGCCGCATTTTTAAGTGCGGCACGATAGTATTGACCATTAATTAAATGCCTTCTACTGGCCTAAGTGGTATTTAATTAGACGAGTGTAAATTTGGACTGGGTTCGGGATGGGATGGGATAGCGTCACTTCCCCTGTGGGGATGTGAGTTTCACATCCAAGGGCAATTTGGGTATGACAAAAAAATAGAATTTATTAATTATTTTTTGTATTAATTATAAAATGGAAATTAAAAACCCATATTAAATACATATTTTTTTAATTTAAATCCTAAAATTAATACATCTATATCTCTCTCTATCTCTCTCTTCATTTTTCAGCAGCCTCTTCGCTCCGATTGCCAAACTTTCTCCGACTGGCAGACTTTTTCCTGGTGAAATCCTCCAATCAGACTCGCTTCGGCGATCTGCAAAAAAACCACTCCGTCAGTGTGCTAGTGGTACTGATTTCCGTCTAGTGGTACGGTACCTGTGGTACGCTACCACTACCATTGGTACCACTACCAGTGAGTAGTGGTACGTTACCACTGGTACCGTACCACTAGACAAAAGTTAGTACCATTAGAGATTAACATAAAAAGACCAGATCTGTAATATGGAAAATCCCAAATCTGGAAAAAAAAATTAAGGGATGAGGAAGGAGAAGGCAGGGGAGAGATCCTTACCTCTGCGGTGACTGCTGCAGTGGATGAGGGCGACGACAGAGGATGACGGGAGAGAGAAGGAGAGATGCGACAACAAGAGGAGAGATGACGGGAGATGTCGTTACCTCTGCAGCGACGGCGACAGAGGATGGTGGGAGGCGAAGGCCGCGACAGGAGGGTTGCGACGGTGGTGGGAGGAGGGAGAGATGGAGGCTGCGGGCGGATGCGACGGTGGTGAGAGGAGGGAGAGATGGAGGCGACAGTCATCGATGACATGGAGAGGCGGCTAGAGTTTTGGGGAGAGGGAAGAGATAGCGAAGAAAGGGGAGAGAGGACGTTTAGGGGTGGGGGAGTTATTATTTTTTTTTTATGAAAATAGATTATATAGAAAATGAGAAAATATCCCGTGTGCTAATATTTCTTCATTCCAAAAATACCATTCCTTTAATCCTAACCATCAATTGAAAAAAAGAAGAAAGAGACAGTAGAGAGAGATTATCTAATGGCTAGAAAATGGGTGGTCAATCTCACAACCTCCTTTTGGAGTTGTGACCGTATTCCATCCCGGTACGGGATGATTGAGGCTCTGTGCAAAGTTGGGAAGATCGATGAAGCATATAATTCCAATCCAAAGGTTGTGAACCTATACAGCAACGATTGATGGCTTTGGGAAACCAGGAAGAGTCAACAAATGCCTATGGACTTTGGTTATTGCAGAAGATGAATTCCAAGGGATGTGCTCATAATCTTGTCACGTACTCACGTACTATGTCTTGATAAATCCTAGTTGTGCAGCTTAGTGTGATGACCATCGGCACTTTGCTGTTGAAAAGTAACCAGATTCCACCATGGTTTATCGTTAATAATCGTCTTCTCGTTTTACGTTTTAACAGATCGAATCGCCCCCTGAAAATCCCCCAACACTGAATGACAAAACCACATTGGACACCAATAGTGTGCTGCATACATGTTCGACAGGTTCCACCATGCTGTTGAAACGTAACCAGATTCCACCATGGTTTATCGTTAATAATCGTCTTCTCGTTTTACGTTTTAACAGATCGAATCACCCCTTGAAAATCCCCCAATACTGAATGACAAAACCACATAGGACACCAATAGTGTGCTGCATACATGTTCGAAACAAAATCACCATTCTCAATACTGAAATGGAGTTCAAACGTCAGTCCAGCCACATACTACTAGCCTTCCTCTACATGCCAAAAATCCTCTATATACCTTCTCCTCCACCCTCCTGGAATATCAAGGAGATCGTGCTCAATCCCTACAAGGCAGCAATATAAACCTCAGTGACAAGCTTTGCTGCGATCAGATTACCTACTGCCTTAAGTTCCACAGAGATTGAATGACAAGATTTGTTACGGCCATCGAAATGTTCTCAATAATCAGTTCCAACAAAAAACTATGCAATCTTTGCAGCAGACAAAACACAAGGGCGAGCACATGTCCATTGTGAAAATAGCAGAAATGGATTTTCATGAACCCCTAGTATTGATCCAAATTCTCAGTCTAACCAAAATATACACAAATACTATAGCTAGTTGACAGCATACAAACTTATGCAATGCTCCTGAAAACAAATAATAAAAACCACACTCAAATAACCGATAAGTTGCCATATCCACAGACAACATATGTCGCATGTCTGTCAGTTAACTAATCCAGAGACATAACTCGGAAATAGACAAGATAGAAAAATCACCCGACAGACAATGAACTACAACCAAAAGGGATAATAGTTCCACATTGACATTCCATGTTCCTTCCCCGCAGAGGTATGCAAACCTTCTGAGTGCATATATTGTTTTCTTTGAATTAAGTTTTCCATCTCAATAACTGAGTTTTCATAAATCATCCATTAGCTAAGCACAGAAGCTTCCCAAAACCAATGAGAAAGAACGATAACTTGTAGAAAATTTAGAGAAATGAATCCAGCATCCATTTTTCATGTTCCAACACACTTCATGAATATATTCTGTCAAATACTAATACCTAAACTGGTAAGCCAACGTAGAGAGAAGTTGATCAAACATAAACGCACAACATCACTTTTACACCGGACAACAACAACCCAACTACCAGAAATTTCTGTAAGATTCCAAAGCCAATTATTAACTTCTGCAGCAAGTAAATTTGAAGCATGTATAGTCTGAGTAACCTTATTTGAGATTAATACGAATGATGTAGTCTGAGAGGAAGAGGCTTGTGCATATGTTTTTCTCATTTCAGTGAAAGAGCATATAAGGAGCTGGACATAGAAATATCGTGTTATTAGGTGCTATCAAATCTAGCGTATCTTGCAGGCAAGCAGGAAGTATTTCTTTTCCCCGAACATACCAAGCTAATTAGAAACTTTCTTCTTTGGGTGTAACTTACAATCTGCCACCTTCTAAACAGACCAAGGTAGAAATCTCAATCTCGCCTAAAAATTAATCATCAACCACCCTCAATGGAGGATACAATAGTATAATTCTAGTAATTTGCTACAGCTGGAGGGTTGTAATAATTAAACAAGCCAATCCACAGAGAAAGCTTGAAATAACAATTGACATCAATCGACAGAAAAGTACCTGGACAGGGGAAGTGTCTACCCAGAAACAGCATGTTGAAATCCTGTCCTCAATGCTTGCTTGTTTCGTGTATAACCTCCAACATCATTTCTGCAGCGGATTCCTTCGCATCACTTGGATTGACATATTCCTGGTCTGACGATTCTGTCACCATGTCTTTCACAAACACGCGAGCCTTGAAGAAACCTTTCATTGGAAACCCAAACAACCAAATTACATATACAGCCTTGAAGAAACACACCGTCGATTTAAGGGATTCAGTCACTCACCTTCTACGGATACGACCTGGTAACATGGTGCAGGCCAGCCTTTCTTTAAGCATTGATCCCACAATTCCTGCAAAGCAATCAAGCCAGCGACAAAAAATCAACATTAGAGGGAAGCAGTTGTAGATGTTTGAATAAGACTTAGTCGGGCAAGAACTTACTATGACATTCAGCAATCTCATCTTCTTATCTTTCTGCGGGTGATCAGAGGGTGATGGGTTCTCTCTGGTCACATTTTTTAAGAGTTAGGATCGAACATAATGATTCAAATCTCAACCAGCTCAAGAGTGTACCATGTAAAAGAAAGTGAAGCAGGGTGCCCATTTCAAAGAAAGACACAGAATGCCAGTATGACTAAAAACGAATGATCTAAAGAACATACCTTACTTCCCCCAAACTAGGCAGCACAGCCTCCCCCAAAGTAGGCAGCACAACCAGGGTATCCAAGTATTCTATGGCAGGTCCATCATTAAGCACCGAATTGTGGGGAGTAGGAAAGCTAAACCATTTGTCCTTAATGTCGCAAGTGACAAAATTATGTTTCATTTGCCAAAGAACCCTGTCATGAAAAATGTATAGTGGTCGTGGCAGATCACTGGCAGTCGCAGTTAGGAAATTGGGCACATTCATAGAGAGTTTGAATTTCTTAACCCATTCACTCGATTGCATACACCAGCCCACACAGTAAGCAGAGCCAGTAGGGTAAGAAATGAGATTTAGTCTCCCACCTAATGTCTTTAATGTCCAATAGCTCCCATTCTCATTAAATGCAGTAGGAAGATCCACGGTGTTGAATTTCTCTGTAGAAAGGTCGAATGAGACTATCAATTCTTCGGAATTGATTCGGAAGTAAAGACACCCCTCAGCGAATGCTGCATTCTCATGTCTTACTGGTACACCGTGTCCAAATGCACCGACATTCCTCCATCTGTTGCCCTTCATATCAAACACCCTAGCTCCAATATAACCCGTAGATAAGAACACTGAGATTTCGAGCACCTTGTAATCGTCACTCACATGATCGAAACCAAAGCCAAATTGGCTAAAGCCCTGCGAACCAATGTAATTGTAGAAAATTGAGAAAACATCACCCAGAGATGCGTTCCAGATATGCACTTGACCACGTAAGACAGCACACAGTAGCCCATTGACCGAACCCAAAACACAGTAGTCACGGCAGTCATTTAAGTCGACGGCTTCCAGCGGGTGAATATCAACTTGGCAATTTTCGAAGAGCATAGAGTACACCGAGAGGCAAGAATGCGAGTCTCGGTTGGTGAAACTGGTGAGGAAGAGACTTGACTTACGGAATAAACCTCTGTGGAACCCTATTTCTTTCATGTTTTTCGTATGGGATTTTACGAAATTAAGGTCACAAATACAGGAGCTCACCTGTTTCGAGACCCTGCTCAATGAGGCTAGGGAAGAGCCGGGCATCCACTGAAGAATGCTCATGGCGATCTCATGTTCAAGAATGATTTTGGTGGTATCAGTCTGGTCGATCCCCAATAAGGTAGTGACGTACTCGGCGCTCTTGTTTCTGATGCCATAGGCAATGATCATACTCAAGGAGGTGAACATAACAGGGATCTCCAGAAAATGCGCCGCCCTGATCAGATCCCTAAATTCTTGCATCTCGTGCCCCCGCCAGAAGTTCCAGCGGAACGCATTTATCTCCCTTCTCTCAGCCGCTCTCTCGCCAAACTCCGCCTCCTTCCTACAAAATTCAATGATCGCCTCAACATGCTGCTTAGAGAATTTGAGCGGGATTTCACGGACCTCGTCAAGAAGCTCCTGAGAGCCGTCGACGCCATTGTTAACGAATAAGTCGCAGAAGCGAAACTGCTGGACAACGGAGACCTCCACTTCGAGCAATTCTCCACCAGAGCATTTCAAGCTGATAGTCTTCCCGGCGGCGGCCTCGCCGGTTGACATGACAGCGGTTGGATTGGAAATTAGGAAAGGAAGAGACAAAGGGGAAGATGCCAAGATGGGCTGCCGCTGAATTGACCTCTATTTAGGGTTTCCGGCATTTTATATTTGCTTACAAGTTAGTTTATCATTTGACTTTTATATTTTTCAACCTATAATCAATTTAGTCCTTTGAAGTTTTAAGTTTAGCGTGTAAGGACTTTCGGCTTAAACCCTGCTTATCGATTACTGTGATTTGTGGGCTAGCCTATCATTGGGTAGTTATCATAAACAATCACAAACCTATTCACTTTGTACAAAATGGTCATAATTCTTTAATTTTGCACGTTTCGGTCAAACAAGTTTGAGTGAATAACCAAAAGGTCAATCCGTCAACTTCCGTCCAAAATTCCGTTAATTTTGCCCAATCAGCATGACATGTCATCAAAAATATTAATAAAAAATAATTTAATTGTTTCAATTAACCGAACAACCCTAACCGGTTCACTATTTGTCTCCGTGACCATCTTCTTCGACCAATCTCTCCACAAACTCCATTGTTTCTTTCAGCACTCAAGAAGACGATTCAGTTGCCCTTCCCTTTGTTTAGCGTTCTAGATTTCGTTTTTCTCTGTCAATTTCCGATTCAGTTTTCTTTCTTGGTGATTCCCCATTACGCTTTCTTGATTGCTCTTTTCCTTTCTGTATTTCCCAGTTGAGTTTATTTCTTTCATTCTTCTCAGTCTGATTCCTAATCCCTCTCTCCGCCATTATCTTCTTGATTTCGATCAATGGCTCCAGAACTTCGCCCGCGATTCAATGGTGGGAGTCTTCATCGCCATCGATTTTTATGTAACCGAGCGGCCGCCGAGCCCCTGAATCTGATGGGGACGAAGAACTATTCTATGACGACGGAGAACCATACACTGTAGACGAAGAAACACAGAAGAGGAACCATCCGCCGTAGACGAGCCACCCACTGGAGATTATGAACCATCCGATGGAGCAATAGCCCAGCCAATTGGAAACTGCAAAAATGAGCAACCGAAAAATTCAAGCGGCCGCAAGATTCGGTCTCTGTTTGTGCGCGCCGGGGATCGATCGGCGTGGAAGGATCTATGACGGCGGCAGATACGTTGGAAATTGAAAGGTTAGGGTTGTACGGCCCAGTGGGTAAAAGAGTTGGTGAGCCGGTTTGGGTTGTGGTTAATTGAAACAATTAAAAAAATTATTAATATTTTTGATGACATGTCATGCTGATTGGGTAAAACTAACGGAATTTTGGACGGAAGTAGACGGATTGACCTTTTTGTTATTCACTTAAACTTGTTTGACCGAAACGTGCAAAATTAAAGAATTGTGACCATTTTGTACAAAGTGAATAGGTTTGTGACTGTTTATGATAACTACCCGCCTATCATTGCTCATTTACTTGCTCATAACTCATAAGTGATATCTACACAATCTATAAAAGCAGGAAGGGAAAAAGTGGTTCACCATTTCAAATTTCCGCTTCAAGAGTGTTTTTCGGGAGGGTGTTTTGGGTAATCGACATTCTTGGAAGCTGGTAGCGAAAGAAAAAAACTGGACAGAAGCCTTCCTTGAGCCGAAATCTCATGCACAGGCCCAATAAGCAGTTGTTGTTAATTGTTGGAAAAAAGGAAACCGACTACAGTGACCAACTTCTAATGAACACAACCGCCAATAAACCCTCCCCTACTGCCCATTTGGCCATTTTTGCTATATAATTGTCACAGTTTGTTTGGTTTCACTGGCATAAGTAGTAGCCTTAATATGTAGCTTCTTCTACGAAATGTATGAGCCACCACATAAGTAGTAGCCTTAATGTGATTATAGTATATGTATTTAGGTTGGTTGATTGGTCTAATGTTGATAGGTGTGGTATTGTTATTTTAGTATTTCACTCAAATTGGTTAAATACCCATAACATATTTATCCTTCTCATACCAAAGAAATAAAAATCAATCTTATTCTTTTCTAACCCTATGTAAACATAAAGTGGGGATTGACGTTTCATTCGAAGACTTCATCTGTTTTGTAGATGGTACATGAGAGAGTGAGGACATTGACGATGATCACAATTATTGATGCGAACAGATCATCGACTAACGATTGAAAAATAAATAAATCGAAAAGCACATTAGACACATTGGAAGTCATAAATAATATTAAAAAAAAAACTCATGGTACGATTTAGTAGAAGAATACCAGTAACATCATCTTTCTACACCTGGTGTGTTTTATTGTTTTCAATTTTAAAACATTTAATTAATTTTATCAGTAGTTTAGGTGTAAATTTATAAGGTGCTTTAGCTTAAATCCATTGGTGGAAAATTGAACGAGATGTAAAATATGAAAGATGCATGTGTATTATATGTTTGGCATGATTTTCGATTAGACACCCAAGCGAAGAAAGAACACTATGACGCACTAGACTATATTGCCTATGTTTGGCCCGGCTTTTAGAAGTGCTTTTCGGCTTCAAAAGCTTAAGCAGGGCCAAACACCTCTAAAAGCTCGGCTTTTGAAAAGCCGAAAAGCGCTTTTGTATAACATAAAAGCTTAGTTTGGCCCTGCTGTAGCTTTTGCAGAAGCAGCTTCTGGCTGGAGCTTTTAGATAAGTACTTTTCAAAAAAAGCAGTTTAGTGTTTGGCTGTAAAACTATTAGAAGTGCTTTTTAATATGAGCGGTTGTGTAAAATGACTATAAAGGACTTATAATATAAAATATAAATAAAAATTCGAAACAATAAAAAGTAGTCAAAATGGATCTTGTTAGATTTCTTTTATATTAAATAATATGATTTTATAATTTATTTTATTTTTAAAATGATATAAATGAAGGAAAATTATATTTTCTGAAATAAAATTAAAATATGGTAAGGATAATCTTGTATTTTCAAAACAGCTTTTCGCAGAAGCTCCAAATCGGAGCTTCTGCTTTTATGTTATACAAAAGCGCTTTTCGGCTTTTCAAAAGCCGAGCTTTTAGAGGTGTTTGGCCCTGCTTAAGCTTTTGAAGCCGAAAAGCACTTCTAAAAGCCGGGCCAAACATAGGCAAAAGCAGAAGCTCCGATTTGGAGCTTTTGCGAAAAGCTGTTTTGAAAATACAAGATTATCCTTACCATATTTTAATTTTATTTCAGAAAATATAATTTTCCTTCATTTATATCATTTTAAAAATAAAATAAATTATAAAATCATATTATTTAATATAAAAGAAATCTAACAAGATCCATTTTGACCACTTTTTATTGTTTCGAATTTTTATTTTTATTTTATATTATAAGTCCTTTATAGTCATTTTACACAACCGCTCATATTAAAAAGCACTTCTAATAGTTTTACAGCCAAACACTAAACTGCTTTTTTTGAAAAGTACTTATCTAAAAGCTCCAGCCAGAAGCTGCTTCTGCAAAAGCTACAGCAGGGCCAAACTAAGCTATTGTATTTTATGCAATTTCATTAATTAACACTCAATATATGTTTGGTGCTTTCGTATTATATTTTATCTGAATAAATTGTAGAATGAGACTATTGCATATTGAATTGGAGTATTGAATATGTAAAAGCGATGTGGAATTCTTAAATTGGTATTAATTTTCAGAACTACTATAAAGCAATTATATCTTTGTGCATACCATAAGTGAATGGTTCTTTGAACATTTTAGCCTGGTTAACCACTAGCTCTTGGAAGAAAGGAGCTGGCGGAGGAATAGGCTTCACTGGATTCTCTACATCAGGAGAGCTCCTATTCGCAATCGGCAAGCACTATCCCGGTATAACTGATCCATTTGTTATGGAAGTGTTGGCTTTGAGGGATGCTATTGATTGGTGTCTAACACATGGTTTCTTGTCTGTTAATTTTTGTGGCGACTCTCAATTATTGACTCGGCGAGTTCGGGAGAAGGATGTAGCTCATGGAGTAGGAGGGGCCTTGCTCGAAGAAATCTGCTCTGCAATTTCTTCCTTTTCGTTTTTCTCTTGTAATTTTACTCCTAGGATGTACAATAGAGCTACCCATCTAGTGGCTACTAATGCCCTCTCATCGGCAGTTCGGCTAGCAACCGACTGCCGCGTCTGCCTTTTAAGTAACTTGTAATATCTATTTTCTACCCTATCTCTGACAAAAAAAAAACCAGTAGCCATAAACCTCTTGCTAATCTGGCATGATTGGATCCAACAGACGATAATGATTTTGAAATGCTGGTTCAAAATTATTTTTTGATGTATTAATGAATTTCTACTGTAAGGACATGCAAATGCGTGAAGATGAACCTGATTATAAATTTTGATTCTTTAGATAGATAAAAAAAATGGTATGAGCCATGAACTTACTATACATTCACTCAATTGGTTGAATGAGTTTTGTTTTTATTGAGTGTCTTTTACACTGATGTTAGCATCTTTAAAAAAAATACATTGATGTTAGGAACTGCCAGAGACTTATTTATTCGAATGTGTATGGCTATGTGATTTAAAAAAAATTATTTATATTAAAATTATTTACACATTCTCTTACATTAATTAATCCTTATGTCACACAATTAGAGAAACATGAGCTGTGGCTCCTACTTTAGAGCACAAAAATAAGAACTTAAAAGAATTCGAAAAACATTATTGGATTGATAGATAAGACCAAATGATAACGAGTGATTGTTTCACCAGAGACAAGCATACATATGGTGGATGAGAGAAAGTATGAAAAATAATTGACAATAATACAAGCTCTCTACTGGGTTCAGAATAATTATCTGTCAATCACTAGTGATCGACTATGACTCTATAGAATTCAACCTTTTCTATGTGTTGTGAACTCAGCCGGATTAAGAATTCATGACTAGATTGAAGAGATAGATTTGATGAGATTATTGAGACCGCCATTATCTATAGATTGTTTGGATGAGTACAAGAATTTTTTGTATAAGATTCCTAGAATTTTGTAGATGATGCGCTTTTGATGGAAGGAGATGAAGGATTGACGGTAAATGGCTAGAAAAATGATAAATGATGAGAAACCGTAAGATCGTGTGGTGAAGTGCTAGGATCTCATTTGGGAAAACTTGGTGGTTGAGGCGAGAGTGGCATAAG